GAAACAGAGCAACTTTGTGTTTGGTACTAGTATTTTCTTAGTATTACAGCAATATTAAATGATTGCTTAATATCACATCTCTACTAACACTAACGATGGGGTTGGAACCCTGGTCTCCTGACTATAATACTGTCTTTTTTTTTTTAATATAGCATGTGCTCAATACTATTAGAATAACACTGAACAAGTGTCCAGGGTTGCACGTGTGACAATTTTAAGAACTGATGTCTTAGGGAAGAGTTCTCCAGGGATTCATGCCCAATATATCCCGTAAATGCCCCAAAGGTAGGCGTGGGGCTTGGAGAGGTTGATAACCTCTAGACTGTATGGAAGGTATTGCCAGGGGCATATGTCTCAGTTTTCACTTGGTTGTTAATAATCCTGAACAGATGGAAGGAAAGCTTCTGATTCCATCAGGTAGTAAGACTCCATTGGTAGTAAGAAACACTTCTATTTACTGTGCCAGCAGACTTACTGTGTCAGAAACCAATAGCTTCTAAGAGGTGGCAGAAAACATTATGTCCTGGTAAACCTGATGGAAGGAGGGTTGATTCTCAGAAAGGTGACCAGCGTCATCAAGGACAAGGGTATCCTTGCTCTTTCCACAAATCGGCTCCATTTCCTATTCTTAGATTTTGTAGGGGGATGAACTCATGGCAGACATATGGGCTACATAACCTGTTGAGTGTGCATGACATACAGAGCCTTCTATATTGTTGCTTGGAAAAAGTGCCAGGTTTTTAGAGCAAATTCTAGGACTAACTGGCCAACACCACATCCTCTACATGACTGAAGGAATCATGTCAAGCACAGGTCTCAGGTGGAGGCTATACTCAGAGTAGGTTTATACCTTAAGAGTAGGTTTATATCATCTGCTGCTGTTGCATCTTTAAAGAAAACCAACAACACCATCTTCAACTCAGTAAGAGTGGTAAATAAAAAAAGGACAAGTTGGCCTTCAAGGATAGGGTCATTACCAGGAAAAACTACTTTAGGAGGATGGGATCTTAAGTTATTTCAGAATAAATCTAAAGCAAATCAAAAGGAGGGAAGATAATGACAGGAAAGAAGGAGCTCATAATAAAAAATAACTCCAGGAAAACCTGTTCTTTGATTATTTCAGAATAAACCTGAAGTAACTGAAAAGGAGGATAGTACTAACAGGAAGTGATGTTAAACAGAGCTCCACCACGCAATCAGAAGACCCTCTCCTCCTATAGCTGCCTGGCCTCAGCAACATCCGTCAACAACGCCTCTTCAGTTGCTCCTTCTGAGTCCAGAACATTGTTCACTGAAACCCTGATTCCCAAAGCCCTTCTGCCCTGAAGCTGTAGGTCTGTCAGGAGGGGCATTGGTCTTCGCTCCTTTGCTGTAGAGGTTCCCCATATCCATTCATGCAGCCCCCATCTGTGGTTGGGCACCTGTCAGGGGCTTAACACCAGCCCTTGCTATGGACTAGGGGCTGAGTATTGTCACCTATTATTATGGGAATGGTTTCCAGGGACCAAAGTTCTCTGAATTGCTATTGCTTTGAGCAGTGCTGACTGCACTACACATTCCTCCTAAAGTTGCTTTGGGGACAGCATCTTCTTCATGGAAGAGTTTCACATATAGTATTTAGAATTCACTGGATATTGTATCTATAGACTATAAATTGCATTTTAAACTAAATGTCGCTACGTCAGACTTTAAAAAAAAAAATGGGGATTTCCTTTTTTTCACCAAAGCCCAGCACTAAGAGATGCACCAAATCAGGATTCTTTCATTTCCTTCATTTCCCTATATTCTGGATGTTTCCTTAGTTAGCAAGGTGTGCCTTACATGCAACAAGGACAGTTTTAACTAAAAAGATTTCATTGAGGTCTTCATTAACATATAATGAAATGTAGAGCATTCCATGGGCTTCCCTGGTAGCTCAGCTGGTAAAGGATCTGCCTGCAATACAGGAGACCCTGGTTTGATCCCTGGGTCGGGAAGCTCCCCTGGAGAAGGGACAGGCTCCCACTCCAGTATTCTTGGGCTTCCCTGGTGGCTCAGATGGTAAAGAATCCACCTGCAATGTGGGAGACCTGGGTTTAATCCCTGGGTTGTGAAAATCCTCTGGAGGAGGGCATGGTAACCCATTATAGTATTCTTGCTTGGAGGATCCCCATGGACAGAGGAGCCCAGTGGGCTACAGTCCATGGGGTTGCAAAGAGTTGGACTAAGTTGTGTGACTAAGCACAGTGGAATATTCTATATTTGTTTTACTTCACATAGGTGACCTAGTATATCTTCTTCTTATAAGGATAGAACCAGTAAGTTCTCTTGTTGGCTTTTTATAGCTCAGACAATTTCTTTAATGAGTTAGTTAATATCAACAATATCACTGTGGACCAATAAGGCCTTTTTTATTACTAGAAGCTCAATATTTTAGAAAATGTTTGCTTCTATATTCAAGACTTGATTTTTTTGTTGTTGTTGTTGTTAAAAAACAAAATATAATTAGGCCATTCAAAGATTCTGTTAAGTACAGGTTAGTGAAGTGAAGTTGCTCAGTTGTGTCTGACTCTTTGTGACCCTGTGGACTGTACAGTCAGTGGAATTCTCCAGGCCAGAATACTGGAGTGGGTAGCCTTTCCCTTCTCCAGGGGATCTCCCCAACCCAGGGATCGAACCCAGGTCTCCCGCATTGCAGGCAGAGTCTTTATCAGCTGAGCCACGAGGGCAGCCAAAGAATACTGGTGTGGATAGCTTATCCCTTGCCAAGTGGATCTTCTCAACCCAGGGATTGAACCAGGGTCTCCTGCATTGCAGGCAGATTCTTTACCAACTGAGCTATCAGGGAAGCGCTAAGTACATGTTAAACTTCAGTTGAATAGCATTCCTGCAATGAAATCAATGAATAGATACTGCTTTTCCCTGAAAGGCACAGAGGTGACCTTTGAAAACCTGCTACGTGGGTTATGCTGGCGAAGAAACAAGCTGGTGAGTAAGTACGTTGAGAGTTTCCCACACAGGCTCAACACCCAATGCAGTAGGAAGGAGAGTGGTAGGAAGGAGACAGGAAAAGGTGGAGGGAAGGAAGGCTAGAGAGGTGCCAGGTGGATGCACCAGCAGCTGCACCTCAGTACAGAAGGGCGCCCAAGGGTCTCAGTCATTCAGCCACATTAGGATCTTCACAGCGATACAAAAGCTAAAATTCAAATTGCTGTCTTCTCCTTGCTGGCTAGAAAAACCTCCTTTTTGCTCAGTTTACTCAGCTTATCCCTACTATGAGTCATACATTCCCGTTTATTCTCAACACATAAAAAGTGTTTTAGGCATGTCAGATGACAGCTCTCTTTTGGGTTTTCCACTTTCCTTCTTTCAAAGTGGTCATTATTGCTTGTGGAGGAGGGCAAGGAGCTGGAAACCAAATTATGAAACCAACAGGATGCTTTGTTATCAGTGGCACAATCTTGTAGACATTTAGCTCTGACAGTCTAAGGAAAAAGAATCTTCATCTTCAAACGACTATACTTCTGATTCGTATTCATTTTATTGCTGCTATGCTAAACCAGGTTCTACTTCAAGCCCTGATGAGTTATCCTCGTCTTTGATGACAGCTCTAGTTCTCACTGCTGCTGCTGCTAAGTTGCTTCAGTCGTGTCCGACTCTGTGCGACCCCACAGACGGCAGCCCACCAGGCTCCGCCGTCCCTGGGATTCTCCAGGCAGGAACACTCACTGATGAGCTTCTGACAAATAGTGGAACAGTGCAGCAGTGAGCTCCACAAGGCAAACTGGCAAACAAACTTACTAATGCTTCAATCATGGTTTAAGAAGATGATGCATTTTTATTCTGGCAACAATCGAACGCTCAAGAAATATTACCAATGATTTATAAGAGAACAAATTCGCTGGACCAAAGAGACTCTTCAGGCACCTCTAACTGCTGTTGTATTTTCACCCTTTTGGAACATATTAAGGAATACAATAAAAAGAAATGTAGTTTACACATTGTATAAAGCATTCCTTTATCCTAAAACATTCTTATTAGGTACACAATTCAATGACTGTTCAATAAATACTTTACAATAGAAAGACAATTTTTGCTTCAGTGGAAAACTATGTGTTGTTTAGAGTATGTTCCTCTAGGTTATCGATTTCTGATTTTATGGGGGCAGGCTCTGCACCTTTCATGGCCTTTGAGCTATTTTATGATTGTGTAAGTTGCATCAGGAATGCAAAATAATTCTTGCCTATTGATGTGTAAGTAAATCCTGTCTGGTGGGGTTTCCTCTGACTTCCTGCTTTCACTGTGGAAGAAGCCAGGATTGCCTCTGCACATTCAACACTCCTAATCTTTATACACTTCTGTTCTTTGGATAGTCCTCTGAACTGGCTATAACATCTTCCTAGTTCCTTCATTGATAATAACTTAAAATATTTACACGTGCTTTCTTTTCTATGTGTACGAGAGTCACGTTTTAACTTTTACTTGTTTGGAAAACTATCCTTTAACAACAATATAAAGGAAAAAGAGTATAAAAATTCGAAACACAGTGCCTGTAATCTTTGATCTCACAGATGGTTACCAGTCTTTTCTCTTTCCCTTTTTGTACCACAATTTTCCTCATAGCTTTTGTTCAGCTACTATTCTTTTTTTTTAGAGCCTCAGATAAACTTTCTGATGAGTGACAAACAACACAACAATTTGCACTTCAAAGCTGTGCTCCACAAAGTTAAAACAAATAAGTGAGCCCATGAACATTTTAATCAAGGTTAAAACATTATCCGTTTTTATTTTGCAACAGACTGGCACACAAAAAGTAGTAGGTCGATTTGTAAGAGAACTTTGTTAGACCTAAACAGATGAGGCAACTCTTCAGATAATTATATGTTCTGTGAATTTGCACAAAACTTCCCTTTTGGAAGTTCATTCATAGTTTTCCTGAGACCACTCATGGGAATCACTGCACTGTATTCAAAGGAAACATCTCGCAACATCCATAAATAAAACCAGATTTTTGCACTCACCGTGCCCCACCAGAGAGCATCCGCGTATGTAGAAAACTCCTTATTAGCATCCTTTTCCACCAGATAGACAAGGAAAGATGAAAAAATCAGAACCAAAAATCCTATGTACCAAGCTGTGATTAATTCCTAGATATAAAAAGAATGAGAGATTTTTTAGAGGTGAAAAATACTTGAAACGGGAACAAAATCAAAATCTGAGCATGATTTCATGTGTTCGACTACTGCTTGGATATTTATGGTGACTTTTACATAATCCACACTGTGTCCTCGCCTGGCTGTAGCCAGTTTCTGCAAAGCCCAAGTCTGCTTTCGAAGAGGTTGGCGCCGCGGGGCGCGGAGGCGCTAGCTCACCTTGCTGTGCGCGTAGACCACGGAGCCTAGCAGCTTCCAGGTTCCGCCGCGCCGGTCCATGCGCACCATGCGGAGGACCTGCAGGAAGCGCAGGCTGCGCAGTGCCCACGTGGCCAAGATGTTACCCTGAGTTTTGGCAGACACGACCGCTATGGAGGCGATGAGGACGATGGTATCTGAAAGAAACAGGTTGAAGCAGCCGTAAGTCGCAGGGCCAGGAGGTTTTCGTTTCCCAAAGAGGCTTTCAGAACACGTCACGTTGGACCTATTTGGGGCCCCGGGAGCAGAACTTGAGCTCCAGGCTGGCGCCCACCACGTGGACTCTGTGATGGCCGAGGAGCGGAAGGTGGAGGATTGCGCCTGCTGCTGCCTCGTTCTTACCCCTCGGCCATCTCTGCTTTAGCCATCCAGTTTGGACCACTTCCTGTTGAACCTTCGAAGAACTGGACGTGGCCTTCGGAAGGTCTGGTGCTCTGGGGGGCTTAGGCTGGGGACAGCCCCCACTGCAGCCCTGGTGTCACGGTTGGAGGTGGGGGGTGGTCCAGTCGGCAGGAGCCCCAGCCCCGAAGATTCCCCGATGATGCCGTGGAGGCATCAGAGCCTGTCCAGCTATGAAAGTGCTGCTTCGCACAATCACGTTTCCTGTTTTCTTGCCCCCAAAGCTTGTCACTCCTTCCTACAAAAATTTCACTCCTGTTGTGTCTGCAGCTTTGCAGACTGAAAGAAAGGCCTCAACTAAACTAAATGCTTCAAGCACCCTGGGTAGAGGCCTTTATAAACTGCTTTCGGTCCGGTTTTGTGTAAGTTCGGCACACAAGTTAATTGACATTCCGTTTGTTACAATAGAGGAGGTAATTGTACACACTGTGCATGGGAATGGATATTTAATGTCTGACATATTGACATTTGGCTTAAATCATACCTGCTAAAAAGAGCAGCTAAGGAAAGCACAGAAAAGATAAAGGAGGGCTTAATCGCTCCAAGGGTAAATAGCGGAGTGATAGAAAGTAGCTTTGAAGTGGGAGGAGTGAAGTGGGATGAATAGCCTCCCATGGCGATTTTACAGGAAGTCCGCTTGAGCTGCTCATCCTCAATAAAATGTCCTTCCTGCTCCAGGTGGGCGTGCAAGGCCAGGCAGCAACACTCAGACCCCCTGGGCTGCAGCATTTACTATGTTTCTGAGGCCCTCTGGGTTAACGGCTGAGTGAATGTGGATTTTCCGTTCAGCCCAGTCCTTCATGCTCACAGCAAGGTCTGTCCCCCGCGTGTGGACTGTGAGGATCTTTAGAGTCACTCTCCTGGTGCCCTTTTGGGTCAGGGTTGGAGAGAGGGTTGGAGGTTGGCAAATAGGTCAGCGGAAGGCATTTCTACCATTAGGTCTGTGGGCTGAGTGAGCTTGTGGTCGGGCGCACAGCCAGCCACAGACTTGTCCTTTTCTTTCTGTCTGTAGCTGTTGGAGACGAGGGGAAACTAAATATGTTAATACAAACACCAAGCACATTAAGTGACTAGAAGTCAGTTGCAAAGCAGAATGTACAGTGTAGTCTTACTTAATAAAAGATACATTATACAACTAGGAAAAACGTGAGGATATACATAGAATATTAAGTCTCTGTATGGGTAGAGAGGTGGGATGAGAATGTGGATAAAGGACTTCTCACTTTCAAAGTTATTGATTTCTGTAATCTTGGAGTTTTATAACAATGAAAACATATTTTGAAATCAGGAAAAAACTTAAAAGAGTTAAGTGTGAAAACATCTCTTGGTTTTCATCATTCGGAGGGATTTACTTCTGAGACAAGTGGTTTACAGACAAAGAAACATTCCTTATGAGGCCCTGCTGGATATATATTTTGCTTCTATTTCTCATTGTAGTACTACTTCCTCACAAGTGTACAAAGAAAAAGACACAATACCCTACTCACTATGCTAAAATATTAGAAATAGTTGAAATAAATAAATGACTATTGCGGGTGCAGAAAACAGACTTGAAAGTTACTTTGTGCAGTAAATTTACTTTCTTTAGTTTTAGGTGTTTTACAAATGTCCTATTATTTTAATCCTTGTAACACCAATATCTGTTAGATATTCTAGATAAAAAAGTGAAATGCAGAAAACACACATTGTATCAGTTTTTTAAAAATTAGCTATAGAGCGGTTACACTACAGCACAAAAGTATGCTTTTAGCTCATTAGACAAAAGCTAGAGAAAGTAAGAGTAACCCTGTAGGTCTGAGACAGTTTCAAAAACTATGCATACAGTGAATCGTAATCTAAAGATTTTAAGTCACAAAATATACAAAAGTAACCAAAGATTCAACACCCTTATTGTAATTCAGATCAGAAAGTCAGAATTCAGTGAAATGAAGTCATAAGTGAGCAACCAAATGTCACTGATGAGTCAGCCACAAAAATGCTTCTGCTTGGGTTACAGTCATCCGCTGGAGTTTTGCTGTAAGTACATCTAGATATTTCCCAGGTTAATATTTTAGAAGTTATGAGTGCTCTTGTCTTATCTTTATGTATGTATGTATGTATTATTTTTGTAGTCCATTACTTAGGAGACTAGAGCTTCCACAAGGTTGGATACTTGTATCCCAAGTACCTAGAACAGAGCGGGCACTCCAGTAAATGTTTATAGAATAAACTTAAGTTAATAAACATTTAAAAGTAGCTTGAGCTTTCTTCTCTTACCACATCAGTGGCTTAATAACTGGAACATCAAGCAAAAATACTCTTAAGTTCATCAAACCAGCACGGAATTCTACAGCAATGTAATAATTCATAGCCACCATTCATTGACATTTATTAAAAGCAAAACTCACTAAGGTTTACCTTTTATAAGCGTGGGTAGGTGTGGCCTTTAAATATGGCCTCATAGGAGGCTCCTAACTGCTCTCCTCCCACAGATGCACCACATGAGCAGCTACGCACGCAGAAATTCCCTCTGGAGGAAATCCAAAAAGAGAGAACGCTCACATCAAAACAGCAGGAGAGGCTGAGACGCAGTCACCATAAACCCCACTCCTAGCACAGTGCCAGACAGCCAGGAGGGACCTCAAACTCCTAGCTTCTCCCTGAGAGACTGAGTTTGAACCCCACATTTAGCACCCCAATTTTTAATTCACAGAGGGATAGGCCCCCCAAAACATCGAGTCCTGAAAGCCGTGAGGCTTGCGTCCATGAGACCCGCATACTATAGCCGACAGGGAAGCAGGTGTTAGTGGGTGTGAGCCCTGGGCTGTAGAAATGCCCATCTCCCTATCTTTTCCTGGAAGGATTCTACTTGCCAACTTCACAAGCTGCTGCCTGAAGGTCAGGCCTCTAACTTAGATGCATCTGGAGAGTGACCGCAGTTCTCTCCTGAGGCCACAGGAGCCAGTGGACATGTCTCCTGCCCTCTCCCTCTGGCCTGCTCCAACTTGCCAGTAGCCTTCTCAAGTTTTTGTACATATCTGGTGGCCCAGCTTTTGAGGCTGCTGCTTGGGAGAAAACCCCTGGATCACCTGGCTCTGACAGCCAACAGGGCTTGCATTCAGGAGTCCTACAGGACTATAGCAAAGAAAGATCTTAATGGGTTAAGGACCCCGCAGCCCCCTGCCCCCACTCCGTGGCTATATATTAATAACTGGGTCCAGTACAGAGGGAGCAGGTGAAATGCCTACCTCCCAGTTTCTCCCTGGATAGGGTCTAATGACATATTTTCCCAGCTGCTGCCTGCAAGTCCAACTTCCAAATGGCCTTCATCCAGAAGATGACTGTGACCCTCTGCTTGGGACACTGAGTCTTGGCACATATTTGACCACTGGGGGCCACTAAGAACAGGGTGGTTAGACAATTACAAACATTTCAGACAACGAGAAGCAAAGGCTATGTTAATTGATAAGTTCATCTCCTATACAAGATCTGTCTTTCAAGACTAGTGTAGGTGGCTAGTTTTATCTAATGCACAGAAATTTACACAGGGAGTCAAGGAAATTGAAGAAACAATATGTTCCAAACAAAAGAACAAGACAAATTCCCAAAAACAGATCTTAGTGAAACAGACAACCTAGAAGAAACAGTTAACTTACTAGAAACGTACAATCTAGGTTGGGTGCATGAGACAAGTGCTCGGGCCTGGTGCATTGGGAAGACCCAGAGGGATTGGGTGGAGAGGGAGGTGGGAGGGGGGACCGGGATGGGGAATACATGTAAAAAAAAAAAAAAAAAGATACACTATGGTTGTGATAAAAAAAAAATAAATAAATAAATAAATAAATTAAAAAAAAAAAAAAAAGAAAATTTGAACAGGCCAATCACTAATAAAGAGATGGGATCAGTAATCAAAAACCTCTCAATGAACAAAAAAGTCCAGGACTAGATGGCTTCAGTGGTGAACTACATCAACATCTGAAGAATAAATACCAGTCCTTCTCAAACTCTTCCATAAAAAAACAAAAATAGAGGAAGCACTTCCAAATTCATTTTTACAAGGTCAGTATTACCCTAATAGGCTTCCCTGGTAGCTCAGTTGATAAAGAATCTACCTACAATGCAGGACACCTGGGTTCAATTCCTGGGTTGGAAGATCCCCTCTGGAGAAGGAAATGGCAACCCACTCCAGTATGCTTGCCTGGAGAATCCCATGGGCAGAGGAGCCTGGCAGGCTACAGTCCATGGGGTCGCAAAGAGTCAGACATGACTGAAGTGACTTAGCAGTAGCACTAACCTAATATCAAAACCAGACAAGGACACCCCAAGAAGATAAAAGTACATATCCCTGATGAACATAGATGTAAAAGTCCTTAACAAAATCTCAGGAAACTGAACTCAACAATACAGTAAAAGGATCATATACCACGATCAAGTAGGGGTTTATTCCAGGGATGCAACGATGGCTCAATATCTGCAAATCAGTGTGATACCCCACATTAACAAAAGAAAATTAAAGTGATATAATCAACTCAATAGATGTAGAAAAAGCATTTGCCAAAATTCACATACTTTAATGATAAAAGCTCTCAATGAAATGGATATAGAGGGAATGTACCTCAACATAATAAATGCCACAAAACAAGCCCATAGTGAACATCATATTCAGTGCTAAAAAACTGAGAACTTCCCCTGTAAGAACAGGAACAAGTTAAGGATGCTCACTCTTGCCACTTTTATTCAATATAGTATTGAAAGTCCT